ACATAGTTTGACATCAGACGTGTATGGAATATATATATATATGCATTCTAAAAATTGGACTCAGTTAATTAAAATTAAAACTGATTTTGTTTTACTACCCACAGGCAAACTTGTTCGTCGACATCGCATTCCGAAAAATGAAGCCGGAGAGCCGTACAACTGGAGGGATTTGAATTTGGGCATCAACATAACTGTTTACGGTCGTGTCTATCGCATCACAAATTGCGACAAGTTCACTCATGCAAGTTGATGAGGGTTGTCAGTTGGTTTAATTTGATGGGTTAGAGAATGACAATGATTGCATTTTACTTTGTGTAAAGCAATAAATATTCTCACTGCTATTTAATTGTAAGTAGTATGGCTAGTAGGAAAACATTAGTTCTCAATGGCTTACGAAGTAGTGTTATTATTATTATTATTATTATTATTATTATGCTAGCAGATCAAGTTGGGTACAGTTTAATTGGTTTAAATTTACTTGTTTATTTAGAATTACCGGATTATCGAAATAAACGTCACCACACAACGGGGAAACGAATATTCTATACCACAAGCTGACGGTGGCATAAAACCATTGTTTTACCGTGACTGAATGAAAATATCATTGTACTCTGCAAACTGACTTAGGACATCTAATCAGGGTATTTTTGTAGAATTACAGAGCAACTAATGCAGCCTGTATATCAATGTTTGTAACATGTAAAACAAAGGAGATCTATTCAGATTAGCTGAAGTTAATCAAAAATCATTATCAGTGAAAACATAATAATAATAATAATATCCCATTCTTTTTTCGAGAATAATCAAACAAAAGTTAGCAACCTCTCCGTAGATCTCATCCATTGATTGATTCGTTCATTAATTGTTATTTTATCAAGTAATCACTTTTCCCGATCATTTGGCAGGATTTCCTTGAGAGCGAAGGTGTGATTGTTAACGACCCTGAACGCGAACCGGAGGATCCGTATTTGGCCGAACGGGCACGACGCGAGACACTGGTCACCAGCAAAACGCCCAGTTCATTCGACAAACGCAGACAACAGTTTGAGCTGGATCGGAAAGTTCTTCGATTTTATGCTGTGTGGGACGATCGATCTGAACCGTTTGGTGAATGTCGCAAATTTTCTATTCAGGTAAAAGAGTTAATGAAATTCTCCAGATTCACCCGCACCTAAGTTCAGTTTCCAAATTTAGGTGATTCACTTGCTTACTGCCGTTTCGGTAAATAAACAAATTTTGTCCAAATGTACAGACAATGAACATATATATATGGAAGATAAAAACCATTTTAAACGATGAATTCCAGCTAATTAAAATTATAACAGAAAAAATGCTTAAATCAAGAGCAGATGGAAGTATATTCAAGCATATTCGATTGAAGGAGATGGTCATTCCCATAGATAACAGACCGTCAAGTGCAAACAGTGCGGATATCACTGAAACAAATCAATCATTTTGTCTCATTTATTGAGCATCTATTGAGCACCAGTGTTTTGTTTAAAAAAACGTACCTCCGATATTCGCTATTTTTCTATTCAACGGAAACTGTCATGTGTAACTGAACGGTTTAAAACAAAAACGTATTGCTAAAATGAAACATAAATTGAATAGTGCAACATTGTCAGGAAAACGTAATATAATCGGACTGAGTTTGATGTGTGTTCTGAGGCAGAGTTTAGCTAAAAAGGTACGATTTTAAGGTTCCTGACGTTTTTGGGGGAATAAGGGGTAAGCAACTAATCATAATGATGCAATTTGTTTGACACAAATGGACGATGGAAGAAACTTCAAGCTGTGTAGTAGAACTCGCATATATATAAGAAGGATGGACTTGGACGAAAGGGAAAAAATCGTTTGCTTATGCTTTCACCCATGTCGTATTGTTAGCCGTTCACCTGAGCATCATTTGCTCATCCATCTCTGTGCATATGTGCCCCTCAAATTGTGAAGTGTTTTGCTTCGCTACGAAACAGATAGAACAAGGCTAACCTGCTTTGGAAGAATGGCAGATAAGAATCTCTTGTTCCAAAGCTGACTTCTTTTATGCGATAACCAGTGGAAACGGTTGGTTTGTGGATGGATACCGGTTCAGGCGCCAAGATCAGGAATGGTTGGGGCTAGAGAATAAAAGGCACGTGATCCTTAACCGTGCAAGGAGAATTCGTCGGCGAAAAAATACTGTTACGCAATACTGTTGCCTTTAAAAGCAGAATCAACAAGCTGGTTCTCTTACCTTGCCACCTGTAGTATATCCTTGTATCATGGGGTGTACCTCTTTTACTCTATGCAGTTTTGTGTAATAAAAAGAAATCTTAGGCATGAAACCTCAAAACTAATTTCACATTCGAGCTGATTGTGTATTTACAGTCGGAAGATAAAATCTCTGATTCCGCTGCTTTACTCTGGATGTCTTCATTCACCACTTTCCATGGAACAACATTAGTAGATCGCACAATTGTCTGTAGGCACTTGTCACATCCTAGAGCAAATTGAGGACTTACCAGTACTGTGATTTGACCAAATCGGAAGTGAATCACACAGAGACTAGACTTTTCTTTCCTCCAGTCTCGCCGCAGTTTAAATGGTTTGTAGCTTATCACCATGTTGACGTTTTAATATATATATAAATTGAAAGTGATGAAAATTTCTTCACATATTTTTCTCAAAGGTTCTTAAAGAATGTATTTGGGCTTCCAGTACTCACCAGTCGTCATTCCACATACCACTAAGTAAGCCAAAGGATTCAATTAGGGTTATGTTTTTTTATTTTTAATATGGTACAAGATGCATATTATTCCAGTGTCACTGATCATACGCATGCGGTTTAGTAAAGGTATCAGTAAGTATCCTTAGAAATGAGCTCCCTATATCTTTCCGCGCTGCAACATATCAATATTATCAACCCTTTCCTTTTCACTTGAATGCAAATAAGTAGTGATATCTGAACCATATGATAGATATTTCCAGCCAGCTTGAATTGAACAAAAGCGTGATTTGTAAAAACACCACCCGAATAATTATTGATTTTTAGTAAGGGTAGAATGGAAAATAATTTATTAATTTTTTTATTCCCATCCAATGTTTATTTCAGTACTATTTGTGCGACGATACAATGGAAGTTCGAGAAATTCACACGGTCAACGATGGCAGAGACCCGTTTCCTTTGCTGATTCGACGTGGACGAATTCCCAAGAGTCTAGACAATGTACCACCAACTTTTCCCACTGTTTCGATGGAACTTACCGGCAAGTGTTTTTCCTATTCCTCCCCCCCCTCCCCTCCCCAAATTGATCAAACTCTTCAATTGCTCGTTTCCCCTCTGATTGAAGAAAGTTGCTGATTTTATGAATGGTTTTCGGCCGTGGTAATGTTTGATTGATGTGATTGAATTTTGTGTGCATCGTGACCAACCGTTTTAATTTCAGTTTTTACACCACTGGACAGTTGTTTCGTCCTTGTTCTGATTTGTCAACAGTGTGTAGTATGTTTCTATCCTTGTCAGTATTTAAACCGCGGTTCATCGGATTGGTAGTCGAAAGAAACCCAACCTGTGTCATGCGGTTAATGATCAACATTTTAAGCTCGTGGGACATTGTTCTCGTATTTTTCACAAACCCAAAGGTCTGGGTACTGCATTCTAATATAGATCTCCTTTGTTAACGTTTCGTTGATTTCCCACACATAAAACGAGGCAATTTTGAGTGTTATGGGCAACAAAACGTAGAGAAAATCTGTTTCGTCCTCGTCTCAACTTATGGGTTTCGATATATCTGTACGAGAATTTTATGAGAATCTTTTAAGAATTTGTTATTGCTCCAAGTTAGTTCAAAGATGCTGCATCCGGCTAAAGGCGAGTTGGTGATTATAGCAAGTAACAGTTTACATGGACCTAACCGATTCAGCTAAACATGAATTCCCATTAATGAAGTCCATTGAACGGAACACATTATTCGCCGGACATGTTCACGACTCTGGCATGACTGCAAAGTAGCATATGCGCTAGTTATTCATAACAACTGAATCGAATGGTTCGTTTTACTTGTGGCTTTCGTGAAACGCTAGGGAATACTGATGGGCAATCATAACGCGTTAGTCACATCTGTCATAGGTTTTATATTCAACTTTGCCTGTAGGAAATTTGTTTCTAAATTTTCACCCCCAGCCCAGGTGACATCTTCAGTGTCTGTGAGGTGGCTGTGAAAAGAGACAGCCCCTTCTAGGTCATTCCATGGACGAATCAATACCATGATTTGGTGTTTTCTAGATGCGTTAGATGATAATAGCCGTAATAAACGTGACTTACGCATCTTTGTAGAATATATTACAACAAACAAGGGCTGTCCAAACAAAAATACCCGGCTATGAGATATTTATGTCGAACACACTTCCTGAGCACAAGTGTATGAATGAACTGACAAAATATTACCGGATACGCAAGAACCGCAACACCGATCCTGTGCTTCCTGAGAAATTTTGTCAACTGCTCACATACTACTTATTATAAAATTTATATATATATATATATATATATATGTAACCAACTTACAAACAAATATGGTATCTACTCAATACTAATACAACACGATGGAAGCATCGGGGTACGAAACAGCGTGAAATAAAGACAAAAAATTACTGCGGATTCAGATAACAAGGAAGCAATCTTTTGTTTGTTTCACCGTGGACTTTTTAATATTTTGTGTGTGTTGGTTTATCGTTCAAACTGGGGTGCAGTAAATGCATGGCAGGTAACTGCCATGCATTTACTGCACCCCAGTTCGGAAAAAACTTGAGTTGGAAGTAAGAAGTGATGAACCGATCACAACTGAGGTTGGTTTATCAAATATTTCAGGACTTCCGTTTAGCACAACAAGGTAAATCTAACTTCTCTGAATATTGTTCATGTAATCATGTATTTAGTAAAAAGAGTGAAAAAATAATGGTATCACTCAATCCCAATCGAGCTCATCTCAGAAAGGCATAACGGGTTAAATAACCTCTTGGTATACAGGGACAGCTTAATGAGTTTGCTGATATGGAATGACCATAACGGATAAACGAATATCTAATTGTTGAAAAATAGCACAAAGAAATGCACAAGCAACAACAAGAGCATTACCTTACCACATCGGCTTGTAATGAAATAAGTGGATGTCATTGGCGTCTTTCATGGTTCGAAACTTTCTACCGTCTCTCAACTTTGATGGTGGTCAGCTTCATTCTGGTCTAATTTGATGCCTATTCCATCCTATTGGGACCATAAGTAGCTCGATTTTTTAAATCCCAGAACTCAGGCCACTGAATCTAACAACTAGATTAATTCGTCTTGATTCAGTTCCCCGACTCCTAGTTAAACTAAGGTATGTAACAAAAAATCCAAACTTACCGATAAATTTCATTTTGTCCGGACAGATAATTTGTTCAAAATATACATCTATAGTAGCCAATCAAAACATTACATGCGGGTTCAAAAATAGTGTTATTCATTCTTGGAATTAATGGTTTTAGAATCCTTCTTTTTGACCAAGTGACTTGCTAATAATTTTGTCTTTGTTGTGAAGAGAATTGTCTTACTGTGATGATAACCTACCTATACACGGTTCCGGGCTTTTATTGCTTCATTTTTCAGACCTTTTTTATTCTTTCTCTTTCAACAGAAGAAGAAGTAAAAGAATATTTTCAACCAAGCGATTTCCGGATCGGACATTCTGTGAACATATTGGGCCGAAAATTCCTCATCTATGACTGTGATAACTTTACCAAAGCATGGTATTATCAGAATTTCGGACTGACCGATTTCAAACCAGTGGATGTGGAAATTGAAAACGTGGAAGTTCCGAAAAAGGTAACCGTTGAAGACACGGTTCGAAATAGCACTTGTTTTTCATGCAAAAATATTACATTGCATACATACATATTGAATTATATGCAATATTCTGTGCGAGTGGGAGTCAGATCGGCTGTGACAGAATAACAACCAATCGCGCCAATTAGAAAAGCTTAGTGCTAGGTAGCTTGTAGAACTCCTCGACTTGTACTTCTGGCTTGAGCCATAATAAGCTCATTGAATATCTACTGTCGACCGATTCTCAAGAAAGTAGGATATAACTATGCAACAGATCTATTATTTCCGAAGTACAGGAATGATCGTATTTAAAAGAGGTCTCTTCGGAAATTCCGTCCTGTCGGGTAACTTAAGTTAGGCTTTGGTGCCCAAACACACCGGATTATGCTATATAGTGCTTTCAACGCATCACATTTGTGTGCCTGACAAGTGGACATTAGGTTCGAATCATTCTAGTTCGTAAGTCCAAATAGAATATATTGTTGTCTGAAGGGACGCAGAAAACTCCAGTCCCACAAGCTCACGGAATAGAGTGCATTACAGAAAAAACTGGATACACAAGCATAACAAAATGTAGAGAACAAACGAACTGGATCACAAATACAGGCTGTTCATTCAGACGGATACACAAGAATAAAATCAAAATATGACATACTTGAACATGGCGAGTGGTGGGCAAACGGCGAAAGTCACCAACTCACCACCTCGAAAGACGCAAGCCACCACCGCCTGAATTGCCTCATTTTCTGTTTATACGGAAGCCCTCTGATTGGTCGCCTCTTTCTTCCTGTAGTATTTTTTCATTATCTGTTGAAGAAAAAATATCAAAGAAAAATAAAATGTGCTAGAAACGAGTGAAAAGATGAGTCATACTTGCTAACTTATTCAAAACAGCACAACAAATGTTTCAAATAGTTTGTGGGAATTCAGGCAATTCAAAAAGTCACAAAGTTCGGAATATTTGTTCACCTAAAAAGGTAATTTTTTTGGTGAAACCGCTGATCCCTTCAAATCCAGAGCATCTATCTATGGTAAACGCTCTATGACAGACACTTTGGTTACATTAATTAAAGGAAGTCCAGTTCAGCGTGTGCCATTTAATAGATCTAAACGTGTATTACTACATAACTGTTCAAAATATCCCGTAGAGCTTGTTATAAAGAGAGATGAACTTTATCTATTACCATGAAAGCTGTTAGTAATTGGTTTCTATATACAGCAAGAGTAAATAAATTGGATAATAAAGAGAAGGAAATGGACAGTTACAACCATCACACACTGCATGGTCTAAGGACGGATATACAAAAGTGAGAATTGTGATAGATAGGTATCAGAATATAGTATTTTTTGAATTGTTTCACACTTGGTTCTACAATAGAACAATGCTTAGGGATCCACACAGTGGAAACAACGTACGGTGTTTGAAATGGAATTCGAGCCCACAAATTCCGAGCCGTTGTGGATATTGACCACGTCACCATCATCCTAAGAAATAACCGCATCATTGAAATCCGTTTGTTCACATACTCCTCATAGCCCCGGGTAACTTGATCAGAAGGTAAGTAACATCAACTTTACCGGCATCTAATCAAAACATTTTTAATGCTAGGTGACTTATTGAACTTCATGCGATACACTTTGCGTCCAATAGAGAGGGATACACCAAGATAATGTGCCTTAATAACTATCCATTCTGCTCGTGAACAGTCTGATTATACAAGTTTGGTATGACAATGTATTTTTCACCGAAGTGTTTTCAAACATGCGACACGCTGTCCCGGTCCTTTAAATTCGCTCATTACATTTCCCTTAAATTTTGCATCATAAACATGTTAAAGTTGTGACTTTATTATTATTATCAATTTGGTGTTACCCAGTTCCCTGGTTGAGTTGTTTCTCGTGTTATGATTTATTGAAAAAAGTAATCACTTGATGGCGGTTCAACACGCAATGGTAATGTGTCGTACATGCTGCTGAGAGCTGTATGCCATGGCAATAATTCAACTCATTTAATTTGACAAACGGTTAAAACGGTGCCAATCGATATCATCTCCCCTGTAATCTGTAATCCAATGCTTTTGAAGTTTTGAATAAGCAGATAATATAACCGTTGCATCCAAGTAAGCGACGTACATATATTAAGACTTATGTCATAGACATGAATGACCCTGTCCTCCACTGGTTGGAATTAACGCGAACAATTCAAAATCGGTGTTTTCGAAAATGAATTGAAGCAATTTACTGTTCTACACTTAAATTAAGCATAAACAAAATTTTGAGGTGCAAATATCACATTCAATCAGCATGGTTTTATTTACATCAGGAAATGCCGCCCTACACGGGATACGGCAGTCTGGAGGACAGTTTGGCTGCGATCAAATCATTCGTTCCGAAACCCCCAAAAGTGGACTTTGCCAAACAGGTGGATTACGCGACCAAGATGTTACGCTATGAGGCGAGACTAGTAAGTAATGACTTTGATTTATGTGTGCTTTTTCTATGGAATAACGTCATGAATAATGCAATGTTCACTGCTTTTCGATCCGAAGAGACCGGTCGGCTTTTCTGAAATATTTTTATCAGTGTTACAACGTAGAACAGTCTGCTTGCTTTTCATTCAGTTTCCGTCTTTATAATGAGTCATCTTGCATTGTCGTGGAACTACTTTCGTTCCCGCCTTCCGGTCAGTCATTTGATCCACCATTAAAATTTCATCTTATTTTCACAGGCAATATGCCTTCAAGAGAATGAACACAAATTACGGTAGAGTGTGAATAAGCAGAAGGAAATATCTATTTCCAAAAACTGCTGCATTTGAATGTATGAATGAGGACCGAGTAAGGACATGGGTGTTATAACTTACGGATAAATACATACCATGGGTATTCTAACATCGATGTCCACGTCACATCACACGAGTCTGACGGTACAACCGGAAAAGAACGTCCAAAGTTAGGCGAAGAGTATTAAATGACCGCGGTAGAGCGCTGACGCAAGTACTTAAATTCCATAGGTTGCGGAGCCCGAGGAATGTGTTACGCACGTCACCGGGTATGCTTCAATAAGATTCAATATTTGCTGAGGTAAGTAGTAAATGAAGAACAAAAGTGGTCAGACCATAACCCCTGTCTGGTCACTAACTTGGTCGCCCATAAAGCCTCAGGAGTTCTGGTGGAAGACCTTGGGTTCCTGCCAATCAGGAGTTGGAGACACTGGATTTTGTGATTAAGCGGTAGTGCTCGTGAAATGTATTCACTTTGTGTAAACAGCTAGTTTACTCTCGTTGTATTTTCTCATCTTGGTAATGCTCTCAGATTTTTACACCAGAGCATTGAATGTTATCAGGTATGACTTGAGTAGGAAAATGCAAAGAAATCTATCCATGTAGTCAAATAAATGTATTCCGTCAATCAAATGGAATCACAAACCAAAAAGAACCTTTTGCGACTACTACCTTTAGATAGAAAGTTTCGAAAACTTCGCATACTCGCATTTATAAGACAATTTCAGGTGAGCAATTGTTTTCAATAACTCCTAATCACGCCGTTACAGTTTATATGAGGGGAAAAATCTAGAGTTTGAGAGGAGAACAATAAAATGTGAGGAATCGTTCACTTCGTGTGTGCGTGTCTCTGTGTATGTGTGTGTGCGTGTGTGTTGCACACCGCATTCTCACATCTGTGCTTCCGGGGTTTTCAGTTATGTCACGTTGATCGTGTGACCCAGTTCTGAGGGATCGGTGTTGTTGTGTGAAAATGTATGTGTGTAGGCAGAGGGGAGAGGTGGGTTCGTGAACCCAGGGGGGGGATGGACAGCTTGAATTAGACGCTTCTGTGCACATAGTTTGAGAGTCAAATGTTTAATACAGATGGCATCGGCTATGGTCAACGTACGCATTCTAGCATATTTGGACCGATTCGAGGGAACCTGATATATATTGCGGAATGCCTCACTTGGGTTTAGAGCGATGGCCAGTGTCTACCCGAAAACACAGATATGAGAATGCGGTGTGCAACACACACGCACACACACATACACAGAGACACGCATACACGAAGTGAACGATTCCTCACATTTTATTGTTCTCCTTTCAAACTCTAGATTTTTTCCCCTCATATAAACTATAACGGCGTGATTAGGAGTTATTGAAAACGACTGTTCGCCTGAAATTGTGATATGGATAGACAATTCTCGATTCCCCAGTTCATTTCCGTAATCACAGATAGCTTTAGGTAAAACTGAACTAATTAATTTCTGAGATACAATTGAAGAGAATGAAGGCCGCGCTAGGGTAATGAATTTGTCAATGTAGATTTTGATGTTTCTTCGTTGGCATAATATGGCGGAAAATAACACCCTATATAATTTGATAGATCGGTCGCAAAACAGAAACGATACAGAACAAATCGTTCATACATTTGGCGCTATCAAAGTAGCGATATATTAATTACCAATTATTTCCACATAAATAATGTGTGATTTTGAATGAATAATGCATTAAGCCAACTTATAATCCGCCGCATACACGATGAATCAGAACGAGTTAAACAATCACTGACTGCTTACAGTCAATAAAGTTACATTAATGTACATATATATTTATATATACATATATATAACTTTCTAACTTCATGTGAACTGGAGTCATATCAGATGAATCTACCGGTCGGGTTCAACAATCAATCCCACAAAGGTACTGGTGCTATAATTCCACAAGACGGTGCTGGTCGAAGATAGTTGTTTATTGCCAATAACGGTCGGGATATGGTTAAATTGTCATTCATATAACAAGTTTACGGAATTCCCGCAAATACACAGGATATGTAATGGAACGGCCCACTAACAGATGCGCATTCTTGTGTTCACCGTAGCAGACAGCAACAGTTTGCAACAATTTTTGGTCGTTGAAAGAAACCGCTGATCACATCCTTTTGCGTACTACTCACAAGTGAGTAGTATCTCACAACACTGGTACTTCTGTCTTTACAGATCACCCACTTTCTTTGTTTTATTTTATTTCTAATGAGACTAGTGGTTGCCTAACAGAATGGTTTTATTCCGTAGAATACAGGTTGTGTACGACCGTCAGATTGGCTTGCACACACAAGCACATGAGTTGTAACTAAAACGCGGAACGTCAATATTGCATTGTTTAAGGTTCGTTAAGAAAAACCATAGTGAATGCAGGACAGTGACAGTGAAATCGATTTAAAATACGAATGACGACAGAACACTTTGTTCTGTACACAGTGACAGAAAATTCGATTAACGGTAAGCGTGATCTTGCGAAAAAAATTCGTAGAACTATAGATGTCATTTCAATGTTTCGTGAAAAAATACACTGATAATGGATTTAATGGATAGAAAATTTTGATAATTTAACTTACCAATGATTCAAAAGAGTGGTTTACTTCTATGAAGATAGCAAGGCGGCAAATACGAAGCTAAAAACATGAGGTGGCTCTGAAATGTGTAAGTGAATAAAAACTGCCCCAGCAATGAACAGCGTTAGTCACATTCTGGCGACAGAAAGTGTTTATCAAAATTGCAGAAGTACTGTTCTGGAAATGTGAACTGCTTTCTCATCAAAGATGCCTCTGCTCTGCAACTTCATCAGTACACTTGCGTTTTAATGTATTAGAATGCGAGTATGCATAACAGTTCTAAGGCATGTGGTATGTTGCTAACCGACATCCCTGTCTGTTGTCTTCCAGATTAAAATGCTGTACAGTTTGCTTAAATCTCTGTCCTTCGATTTGTTTTATAGGATAGTAGCCGACCAGAAGATGCCTCGAGACGCTTCATCTTATCTTACCGTCTATGTGATGATATGATATCCATCTACGAAACACCAATACGTAATTCGGGATTCCCCGGAGGCACTTTTCTCAGACGAGCTCGGTAAGTTAAGTGATATATTGGGCCTTAAGGTGGGTGCAGCTTTTTCTATCTACTCCCCGAGATAAATGGACACATTTACACGCAGTGCTAAATTAACTACTATCAGACAAAACAGACGAAAAGGAGAGTGAGATGGGCCCTAAAATCATAACACCAATGTTGGTGTGGGCTACTTCATGCGGGCTTGACTGAGTTAAACTGTAACAGCACCATTCAAAAATGGCTGAAAGCAAATAATTTTGTGAGTCCTTTTATCCCATCCTGTTACAGGATAGCCAAACCCGGGAGTACCGTGGAGAATCCGGTTTACTACGGCCCAGCCGATTTTTCACTTGGATCGAAAATTGAAGTTTTCGGGAGTCGTTTTATCATCACTGATGCGGATGTGTTTGTGATCAAATTTTTGGAAACCAATCGCGACCAGTTTTCGGATGAATTGATCCAGTGCTGGAGAGCTCGCATTACCGAGAAAGAGGCAGAGAATCGTGCAAGGAAACAGGCATTGGAACGACGTGCCAAAGGTGGTCCGGTCGAACTGCGTCGACAGTGAGTTTTGGGCTGAAGCTAGATTTCAGTTCACCACGCTACCACTGCTATGCATTATTTCTCGATTAAAAGATGAGAAAAAGAGCTGGAAATGTCACCTTGCGCCACAATAGATTATAAAGGTTCATAAGTTCTTCAAAGAACGCCTAAAACTAATAATCGTTCGTTTCTATGTCATTTAAGTTGGGATTAGCATTATTTGATACTTCAAGTCATAAAATCTTGAATACTCCGATTACTTTATAAGTTCGGTTCCCCGCTCAACTCCTCAATGTTGGTCATCTGAATTTTATTACCTCTGTTATAGTAATCATTAGCTATTCCGGACAATCAACTTTCAAGACACTGAATATTCAGTGTGCGTTACGAAATAAATGTCCAGTTTGGAGCATTTGGTGTGACCTATGGTGCAAACTTATTATGCAGGATAAACGTTCGATTCTCACAAACCATTCAATGCATGAGGACTACAGATTAGTAGCCCCATCAGAGTATGATCCTACGGAGAAATCGCACAATTAGTCAGATGTATTACGCAGAGAAAACCTCCGGTAGCTCCGATAACGGCGGCGGATGGAAGCCAATTATCGTGATTTTAATGATGAGCCAACCACGCACGAAGGTCAGTCCGGATAGACGCACCAGGTGGCGCGCTGGATTAACAATCNAGGTGGCGCGCTGGATTAACAATCTCTGTGCTTCTTTCTCAGTCATCGATATTTTTGCATTACATACGGACTTTCACCACGGTCTGTTTTTTGTGGATTTTACCCTTTATTAGTTCGTTGATTCCCCACACACTCGTGCATTTTTAAATTTCGTAAGCCCTTGTGATAGATGGCCAACAATGAGCAATAAATATCTGTTTTGTTATTACAGGGACGCATCAATAATGCGTGATATATATATATATATATATATAAATGAAGTATGATGAGGTTATTGTGAGGAAAATGTACTACCTGGGTACAATTATTTGAATGAAAAGGCAAAAGATGACCGGATACGCATGTCTGACGTGCGGCAGGAACCGTAAAACCGGTCGTGTGCTTCCAAGACCATTCTGTCCAATCATCCATATATAACTCATTGTAAAATATTCTATAAAGACCCCCAAGTTGCTTTTGTTGCGGTTAGTAAAATCTAACCCATCTACAAAACATCGAGCCGTAGTACTGATTCATCAATGAACTGAACCTGCAAGAGCTATCCAAACATTTTTACCCGGTGTTGCAAATGAGGTTATTGTGAAGAACATATACTTAGTTACGAAGCCGAATTTGCAGAGTATGTTCAATGTAAAAACAAATCATAGCAGCACCATCGCTTCTTCGAAATAAAATAATTTATTCGCGCCAACGTGTTTCGAACACATTCGTTTAGCAGATCCTGTTGATTGTCCAATCACATGATACATTTGGTCATGACAGACACTGACCGATATCTTTCCAGTCCGTTTTGTCCGTCAGTCAGCTCGACCCAGTTTTGGACCATCGTTTAGCCGATTGATGCATTCTCAAGATCACTCAAAACAACGTCAACGCGATTCCATCTCGCGTGTTCTGCTTTCTTATTTTGGATTACAGGCCCCTAACAATACTGTGCATTGGCGTTCCGATTGAAATTCGGTCTTAATACAACGGAAATTCAAAAAAATCCTGATCATTATCACAAACTTATTTTCAACTATATACTGGTGTCTTAACAAAGATAACGTTTACTGAGGCAGATTGAACAAAATGAACACAGATTACGTGCGAATCATGCCAGACCGCACGAAGTTTCACAACGCACCCTTATTCGGTTTCGGATTCTGTATGGAGATACACATAATTTTACAATTCCATTGTGGGTAAGTGATTACTGGCCATAGTTGTATCCCGTGAAATGTCCAGCCCCACGAGTGGTGCTGATGATGATTTAAGTTTCACGTCCTATCACTAGGAGCAAGAAAGAAACAAATTGGCATCAGTTGTCCAGCAAATTTCTGACTGGCAAAGAACTGTCCAACGACAACGGCTGGAAAATGACATAGCTCAGCAATCAATTTGTACACCAGAAAACGTTAAACTTGTGATGATCGCTGTTCGTTTCACTTGGCCCACAGATCGTACCACATCTGCACGGAATCAGAAACCTACTGTTTAACTGACTCCCTATTGCTTTATCCCTTATTACTGCCTCAGATCAGTGGCTTTTGCAATACATAGTACATCCATGCTTGCTTTCGCGTTCATTTATCTAATCTAAAAAGGCTATGCGCAAATATGTTTTCAAAATCAGCTATGTAGTTCCTGGACTTTTCCCAATGATGACGCAAAAGGGAATATTTAGATGAAAAATAAAAAATAACCAATTAATTTGCTTGCCGTCATAGTTTGTCAATTCCATTATCGATGTCAAATGGCATTTTAGCCATTGTTTTTAATGATCAGTTGGTGAAACTGAATAAAACAGCGACCGACAGATCGTGTGTTCGAATATCGCTACAAACACACATCTTCCCAGGTCTTGTATTGCCCCAAACAGTCATTGGTTGATAGTGGCTAAATTAGTAGGAATGTTTTTGAGAAATTGAAAATGGAATCAATAAGAAAATAAGCTTATTATTGTTGTTAGTATTGTCCCTGTGGAAAGATTGGAAACATCAATCGATAAATATTTTACCTATTTTTATAAGAGTTTATTCGACACGATGATGGGGCCTCACCAGCCATTACATATAACACGATTAACAATGAAAATCATCAAATTCAAATTCTTATTATGGATAGATTACAACGCTGATGTTTATTGAATCCCATAGGAACTGTACACATTGAGTTCGGTTGGTAGTACAATAAAATAGCAAATTATATTGGGTGTTGAAAAGTTGGGTGTTTCAATGCTTCGAGCCGTGACTTGAATGAATCGATGGTTGGTGCAGAAACAACTTGAGCTGGAAGAGAGTCCCAGGTGTTACAAACTCTGAGGCTGAAAGAGTCTAGCCGACTCTTTTGGAGGTGACCATTCCTGGATAGTGTTAGTAGAGTACTACACGGGTGGTTAGTTTGATGTATTATTTGATATACGAGGATCACGTCTCCCCGTATTCGACGGTATTCAGACGAACAGAGTCCGAGAATATGCAGCCTTTCATGGTAGTTTTTAGATTGTAATCCCTTGACCATTTTGATTGCTGTTCTCTGCGGAAATTCGAGTGCCTTTTGGTCTCAAATTTGCCATGAATCAGTTATTGCCAACGCACACTCATCGTTGCACAGGTCATTTTGTTTTTCATTCCAGTGAAGGCGATGTGTGTGATATTGTTCAGGAATTCCGGACTCAACTGAAGAAAATGGCTATCACAGACAAGGCTCGAAAAGATGATATGTTCCTACGATATAACAAAGATCGTCTTGGATTCATCGATATTGAATGTTTGAAGGATATGTGCAAAAAGCTCCAATTGCCTCCAGATGAAGAAGTACTAACCGAGGCAAGTTTATTATCTCACAGAAGTCTCCGGTTTCACCTTGCCACATGCTCCTACTCATAAGTGCTGACTTCTGTAAACACACTTCCTTTTTTGTCTAAACCATCCAGGTTACCTGCATTTTGTGGTACTAAATGTTTTTCATTTTTGATTTTCTCAATTCAATCCCTATAACTGAGTAAGAGACTGGCTGTGGTTGAATGACTCACGATATCTTACCATATAAATCACAAACAATCGAAAAATATGAATAAAAAGGAAACGAATCAACAGAACAATTCATAGGTTTTATTGCACTACAGAAAAAACGCCCAAAAATGAGCAATTGATCAGTTGTAAATTTTTGAATGTTATGCAACTTTTTGCTTATTCTTCAAATTGCCTAATCATCATTAAATGAGAGCTCCAAGTATCCCGTGTACTGCAAAGTAAAGAAAGAGTGATCAAACTAAGACCTGGCATGGGGGTGTGAAAACCCCAATCATGAGACTACTTCATATGGGTAGCGTTAGACTTCCTGGATGGGGAACTTCGGGATCATTGTAATTAATGGTTAGAGACACTGGGTGCATTTTCACAATTTCTTTGCAACTTTAGCCTACTGGAACTCGCAATTTTCTCTTCCACTCTAATTTCAATTTTTCTGTCTTTCTCCAACTGCTTCATCCAAATGGGCAGCCAACAGAAAAACAATCCATACCAGTGCACGAGTTGCGTATTCTTCTGATTGAACAAAATACTTGACGCCTCTGAAGACAGTGTGTACCACACACTAACTTAGGAGAAAAAAGTAGTTTATCTGAATAATGAAAATTTAGCTCCCGTATACTTTCCTCGGTCAAACGTTCTCATTTTCCTTTCATCGTGTCGGTAATTCTGAACTTTGCACAACAGACAGAGAGAGATCAATGATGATTTCGACTGTTCCTGTGGTGACCAATAATCAATAGGGTGTCCCTGTCTTGACAAATCTAATCGAAACTGTTCAAAAATAATACTGTTGGTAAAAACTAGCGTAAATGAAGCATCAATGCTTTTGCTACTCACTGTGGGATGGATGTGGTCGATAGATCCACAGACCTGCTGCTCAATTTTGGAGCTCCGTCATCTATTCTCTGTAATTTGAGGCGAGGAGCCACGAAAAGATCGCAATAGAAAAGATGTAGTAAAATTGGACAGGTTTTGCTCCAATGCTAATCGTTTCAATTCGTGTTTCACTCGTTCAACCGAGACAAGCTTTCTCCCTGATAAATTTAAAAGAGAGAAGCCAGTATAGCGAAATTGCACGATTTATGTCCTGGACGATTTCGCTGCATCTCAACTGGGGCCTTCTGCAGCCAAAGATATTGATTATGTACTGTTTGAGATAGCGATTTCAAGTTGATGGTCTCAATTCACGCCATTTGTTGAGAACATTTTTCATTCGGTGCTTGATTTCAAACCTGGAAATGAATGGATATACATATATACATATTTCACAACTGTCTGAGGACAGACTGTGCCAAACAAATCATGGTATAACAATCTTTATAAAAAAGAAAAAACGTTCTATGATTGGCTTGTGGGCTGAATACTGCCAGGTTGTCCAGGCCAAGGCAGGTGAATTTTCTTGAGGTATCCACAACCGAAGCCTTCGGCTAGCCAAAGCCTGGCAAGGCAGCGTAATGAATGGAAGTGGACCTAAATTCCATGTATTTTAATCGCCGTTTACATTCAATTAGTTTCAACGGCATGATAATTACTTTTGTGAACCGATTTCATCAGGCTTACAATACTTATCAGATATATATATATATATATATGAAGACAAGCACGGTGCCAACGCGACAACAATAATAACAGTAACAATAAAGTGAAATAGGTTGATTAGGGTACAGAACATAGTGAAAAGGGAGTGCAACAACTTGTATTTAACTTTGTGCGAGAAAACTCACTAAAACATCCGATATCTTAAAAGTTGATGTACCAGTGCATACTGAAACAGCAATTAGACTGGTAATCATCAAATAACTACCCATGGGAGTCAACAACCAAACAAAATTCAGACAGTTCAATGTGCTCTAGAAGTTCCAAATTGTGTTCTAAATGCTCTAGAACTACTGATGTGATGGCCAATAAGAGAGAACAACTGAGTACAGCTGAGTACCCGAAAATAAAAACTAGATAACGAATTGGTCTTTCATTATGGTTTTCTATTAACACGGGATATAAGCAAATTATAAAACTGCAACAGATTTGTTTTTTTTCCTGCAGCAGGTCAGATGTGTTAAACATTGAACAGGCTCTAATCTTGGACATAGTGTTGAATTTCTTTAACTCTAGATAAGGACATTGGTGTTTTAAAGCCCTTCTATCTTGGAATTTTGTCAGAAGACGTTGCGTAGCCAGACTTTTATGCTTTATTAGGAACTCATCCCTTTCGGAAATGAAAAGCGTTATGAGGATAGAACAGTGAATAATGAAAGACTTCAATGTAATTTTAGGAAATAATCTTATGGCGTAATTGTCTTGATCGGGACATTTTACTCCGACCCACCCGGATATGAAAGTGAATGGTGATACTGCCCATTAGGCACTGGTTAGATCCCATTGGTTATCGAATCCTATGATAAATTTCTCTCTGTCACTTAAAGAACTGTAAATGACTACCAGCTGAGTGCTTATTTGTCCTTATACCTTATTGGTTACGCACAAACAAATGATCACGGGGCATGCTGTTCCGGTTAGTTGCATTAATTCGGCAGTCCCAACCGCTTAAATACACCTGTTTGGGTCGTATTAATCATGAACTGTACTACGGTTTTATAACTTTTCTGTGCGTTCTTAGAGAGGCTAGAAACTCGCGTTATGAATTCACAACTATTGTTTAACCACTGTGTTATATACGGCAAGATTTATTTTGGTCATCAACAACATTGCCTCGGTTATAACCAGTACAGCGAGGTACCGAACGGTATTGTAAGATGTTGGGTTTTAACAGATATCGTTCATATAGAACACGTTCATTGTATCATTGAACACAAAATCCGATAGGTGAAGCAAGCTGTTTTCCAATGAATCATTAACTAATCATTCAAATTTATATAGGCACAACATTCAACATTGTTTGATCCAGTTCGGGGTGGATCTTATTACCCTATGCGCAGATAACGTTCGTTGAGCGAACAACGGGATGAAGTGAGGACCTCTCACGAATGCTCTGTGATCCCCAAGAGAAACAGTGAAAGTAAACTTGAGTGAACCTGAGGGCTTCACGTGTTAGCGATACTGTCAGCTGTTTAACGCATTTAGGTGATCTCATACTCGTATTCCATATCATCGGTTCTAGTCGACAAACACGTCTTCATAAAATCAGACTATTTATTTATCTGTCCATCAGGCACCGAAAATCCGTGTAACTTTTTCATTGTGACCAAAGTGAAAATACCTTTTAGATCTGGTATGAGCACGATGAAAACTTTTTCGAATAACCTTTCCACTTTTGTATATGATTCCATCGATCATTTAATCATTTAATCGCCCACCCCTCATCTATATTTAATCTACATAAAACCATATATACGTACATACGTGCATACATACATACGTGCACATGTTAACGAAAGAGCGCAAAATATATATATATATATATGTTTATTCTTATATATATATATATATATATATGAATAAACATGAATAGAAAAATTTTTCACTTACTCGTTTCGCCTCCTTTTGTGGATTCTATCAGATGATGCACTGAACTTCTTTTTTGTTTCCCATTCCAGCTGCTTAATCAATACGGAACGGACGGACGAATGAATTTGGAGCAATTTCGCCATTTTTTCGATTCCTAAGCATGACAAACAAAAAAGGAATGTTTAGGCCACAAACTTCAGAACCATCTGTGTTAATTTCCTCCAAGCTCAATTCAAACGAATTGATCCTAGCTTAAATTTGAACACCCTTGAAATTACATCAAGTTGTTTGGTTCTCAATTTTGGGAGGCGGTTTCATAGAAACTCCTAGAATTACGGTTTACATTACTAAATATGAAGTATTTTGTAATTTCGTTACAAAATGTGTATGTAATGGTCATGAAACTTTACCTGGTTTGGTTTGAAATGAAATTAGACCAGACACAAAGAGATTAAGTGTCGCCACTCGTTGGTCACTTCTGCTTTGCACAACCGTTAACCTTGCACTTCTGTGTTGATTTTGGCTACCACTTTTCTGCTACTAATAAATGAAGTATTAGATGAAAGAACTAAAATCCGAATGCCTTACCCAGAGTATAGATTTAGAATACAGATAAGCCAGACTTATTGAGAAAAAGAATAAATTCAGGAGCATCGCCGTTTACGGCTACTACTACTGCTGTGAGTAGTATGTTTGGGTTGCAAAAAGAACGTGATTGGCTGTTTCTCTCAGCAGTCAAAAGTGAACAATAAATCTTAGAGGGAATTAATGTGTTAAAAATGCTAAATACGGGAAATGAACATCCACCTGTTGCAAACGAGACACTTTTTGTATTTATCCTAATTTGACGATACCATTACCGTTGTTCGTAATAAGTAACTTTCCTCGTTTCGGCACCGCTCAATGAAATTATAACACTACCACTACTACTATTACTACTTCTACGAGGGAAGTGATTTATTACGAATAACATTAAGGGTATCGGCAAATTGGCATACACACAACGTAGCTAGCTGGCTCGATGACACTTCAGGAAAGGCCGAAAGCAGCTCATCTCTGGTCTCTTTTGAATGATATTTAATTCGATATGCCAAAGTTTGAGGTTCTATCTCTACAACACACGGGACGATTTTCGTATTTCCTCAAAAATGAACAACTGCCACACCTCAAATGAGAAGGACCTGGGCATCATCATTCAAGAAAACTTAAGCTGTTCACTCGACTACGCCAAGGTGTTGAACGCAGCTGTAAAAATAATGTCCGTTTGCTTAGGCGAGTCTTTGACCGGTTTCAGTCAGCGCTTTCCCCCCGTGTGCTATCAGCATACATTCGCCCACTCACAGAGTACTCTATCCAGGTATGGAATCCATGGCTACATCGTGATTGTA